GAAGAGTCATGTCAGTAACATTAACTTTAACAGGTAACTCTTCTGTTTTAACAGCTGAATATTTCCCCCCTATAGAGTCGAGTGGGCAATATATTTGTGCATTAGTCGATTTTCAAACATATAACTCTATACCAAATATTGATGAGGGAAATAATAAATTTATTTATGATGATAAGGTTATTCATATTCCTACAGGTATTTAAAAGAAAGTTATATATTATACATAAAATTGAAGATATCGAAAAATTTCTTAAAAAAAATTTGCAACTATATGATACTAAGGTGGAAAAATAGAAACTTATAAATAAACATAATAAATGATGTTGATATAAATAAAATTAATATTATACGAGTTGAATGTAATATTATACAAGGGACATACATTAATAATTAGGAAGCACATATTCTTCATGAATTTTCCATTGCAGTTGCTCCTGGCTATAAAATCATTGAAGTCTTAAAAATCTTATCTATTTACCTGTAGCAACCAATCGAATCAGTTTAATAACTGTAAAACTAGTTGATCAGAATAACAATTTAATTAATTTTCAAGGTGAAACTATAACAGTACGATTACACCTAAGATACCAGCAATATGATACTATATAATAACATTGACAATTTTTGTTAGCAAAACGAAAGAAAGAGATACTTTATTACAAAATATATAATTTATTTTTTGACATTATTATTATCATAATAGAGTTGGCACAATAGAAATTATGTAGCAATTAAATTACAAATTGTATATGAGAAATTTGTTCATATATCAACACTCTTACTTGAACAAAATTCTCAAAATATTCCAAATATTACAATGTTAAAATTTCAAATTCAACTTTAACCAGATTACTTTGATAAAAAAAATTTTAAATTATTTTATTAAATTTTATGTAAATTTTAATTTACAAAGCAAAAAAAATTTATTTCAAAAAAAAATATTAATTTACCGGCTATAATTAATTAAAAGAAATTCCAAGTTGTTTGCAAAATTTTAAGTGTTTTGTTGAGGGAACTGGTTTGGTAAAGACATCCGCTACCTGATCATTAGTACTTATGAATTCACATTTGATTCTTTTCTCATTTATTAAATCTCGAATATAATTATTACGTGCATCTATGTGCTTTGTACGTGCATGGTACATGGTTGTTTTTGCCAAATCAAGAGCTCCTTTATTGTCACAGAAAATATGAATTTCTTTTGTATTTAAGTTTAAAATTTCATCTTTTAATCTTTTTAACCATTGGGCTTCTTGAGCTACTGCTGCTAGGGCCATATATTCAGCTTCAGTTGTTGATAAGGCAACAGTTGGCTGCTTGCGTGTATTCCATGATATTGCAGTGTTATTTATCATAAAAATGTAACCTGTGGTTGAACGCCTGTTGTCTAAATCATTAGCCCAATCTGCATCACAGTAACCCAATATCTCATTTGTTTTTGTTTTATATATCAGTTTTGCAGTTATTGTTCCCTTCAGATAACGAAATATTCAGGTTTGCAATCAAACATACCAAATCGTTTTAAAAGATCCTCTGTATAAGCCTTTTGATCAACCTCAATGCTACTTTCAGTCTGATTTTGTTTAATATTGATACCTAGAATAGACGAAACTTTTCCCAAATCTTTCATCTGAAATTGTGAACAAAGTTTAGTTTTAATGTTTACTGTATCTTTTAAATCATTTGAAAAAATTAAAATATCGTTTACATATATGGCAAGAATCAATAATTTTTTTTCGCTTTTTCGGAAGTAAATGCATGGGTCCATTTGTGATCTTTGCAGATCAAAGGAGAGTAAAGCTGCATTTAATTATATGTTCCATACATGACTCGCTTGTTTTAATCCATATAGGGATTTCTTTAATAAACACACGCGCGAAGTTCCATCATTAAAAGCTTTGGGTTGTAGCATATAAATTTTCTTATCCAATTCTCCTTGGAGAAATGCACTAACTGCATCCATTTGATAGATTTGTAAATTATATTGTGCTGAGATCGCTAAAAGAAAACGTATTGAAGTATACCGTATTACTGGAGCGTACGTTTCCTCGTAATCCAATTCTGGTTTTTGAGCACAACCTTTGATTACTAAACGTGCCTTATGTTTAATAATTTCACCGCTATTGTCTCGTTTAGTTTTGTAAACCCATTTACAATCAATTGGTTTGCAGTTTACAGGTAGGTCTACAATAGTCCATGTTTTATTTTCAATTAAAGTCTCATGCTCCTCCTTCATTGCTTCTATCCCCAGATTGGAATCGGATCGTGATATGGCTTCTTCATATTCAAATGGATCCCCGACTTCAGCTGATCTAACTAAACATGAGTATTTAATATTTTGGCTTTCCAACCTCGGTGATCGCCTTCTTATTTGCTGTTCTCCTTCGTTATTTTTATTATTTACATAAAGGTCACCATTGTTCTCTTTAACATTTTCGTAATTTTGAATAATGTTCTGATCACCATTTGTATTTTTGTCATCAGGTTTTCGCATAACTTTGATTATTTTCGTTTCAGGTATTTCTGATTTCATCATATTTTCCTCTTCTTCATTTTCAATTTTAAAATGGTCTGTAGAGATAGAATACTCATTATTATTAGATTCTAAATTAGCAATTACCTGTTTTGAAATAGCTGGTTCATCTTCAAAGAAAACAACATCTCTGCTAACAATAATTTTGTTGGTTTTTTTATTATACAGTCGGTAAGCCTTGCTCGCATCAGAATAACCAAGCAATATACACTCAGTAGACTTTCTGTCTAATTTATGACGTGTTTGTTTTGGTATATGTGCAAAAGCTTTGCAACCGAAAATTCTCAAAAATGACAAATTCTGCTTATATCCTGTCCAAATTTCCTCAGGGGTAAGATCATTAGCTTTATTTGGTAGACGATTTATTAAATATACTGAAGTTGAGACAGCTTCGGCCCAAAATTTTTTGCTCAAATTAGCGTCATAAAGCAAGCACCGTGCCTTTTCCATTATTGTTCGATTCATTCGCTCAGCTTTTCCGTTTTGTTCCGGAGTATAAGGTGTAGATGTTTGGTGAAATATTCCATATTTTTTTATTATTTCTTTCATACGTTTATTCACAAATTCCTTTCCGTTATCTGAACGAAAAATTTTTATTTTGCGATTTGTTTGATTTTCAACCAACTTCTTGAACTCTATAAACTTGTCCACTACTTCAGATTTTTCCCTCATCATATATACAAACACTTTTCTAGAAAAATCGTCTAAAAATAAAACATAATATCTGGCACCACCTAACGATTTTTCGCTCATCGGACCACATACATCACTGTGAATTAATTCCAAATAGTCTTTCGAGTTAGTCGATGAGTTGGGAAATGAATTTCTAGTTTGTTTACCAATAGTACATATTTCACATGATTTGAAACTTGAAGACTTAAAACAAACACCATTTCCTAAACCATCACGTAATTTTTTTATATAATCTTCATTTGCGTGTCCCATACGTCTGTGCCATAACATATAATCATCAACATTTGAATTGGATGCCGCATAACCTATTTCTGTCAAATTATTTATTTTATAAAACCCATTTATCATAAACGCTGTTGCAATAATTTCATTTTCTTTATTTCGAATAACACACTTTTTATCATCAAATGTTACGACGTTTCCATATTTTGTAATTTGACTAACAGAAAGTAAGTTTGCACATATATCAGGTACAAAATTAACCTTTTTTACCAGTAGGCTACTGTCTTTGTCATTTACTTTAGCATTCAATCTGATGTCACCAATATTTTTAATGTTTAGTTCCATATTATTTGCAATAAGAACTGATTTTACTTCAACTTCAGAAATATTTAACAAGTGGTTTTTATTCGGTGTCATGTGCGATGTTGCACCAGAATCTATAATCCACTCTTCAGAAGAAATGTTTTGACCAGCAAGTAGAGAGGCTAACATTACATTTTCTTGTTTAACATGATTTCTTCTCGGTTTTTTACAGTCTCTAGAAAAATGACCAAAACCATTACAATTATAGCAACGTACAGATTTACCTTTCTTTTTCATTTTAAAATTTTTGCTTATTAGAACCGCTTCATCTCCGTCAGATTTCTCATCACAATTTACCTCTTGTAAAATTTTTGTTTTTATAGCGTCTGATGTAATTTTTATACCACTGCTTTCTAATCCCATAATCATTGGCTCATACTTCTCAGGTAAGCCAGCTAATAGCAAGGTACCAATCCATTCGTCCGAAACTACTAATCCAACACCATTTAGCCTGTGAGCTGTATTGATGATTTTGTTTACGTATTCCTCAATACTTGAACATTCAGATAATTTTGTAAACAAAAGAACCCTCAATAAGTTAACACGTCGTGTTAAACCGCTGTCTTGAAATGCTTGTTCCAATTTCTCCCACATTTTAGCAGCTGTGTTGACTGATTGAATATGCACATAATTTATAGGTTCAATTGCTAATATTAATTTCGATTTAGCTTTGATATTTTTCGACGTATCTTCATCTTCTCCCGTTATACTCTGCCATAGACCCTCAAGCTCCAAGTAAGTCTGCATAGCAAATTTCCAACTATCATAATTCTCCCTGTCTCTTCCACCGCAGTGGAAGCGTGCTGGGCCCATAACCTGTTAGCAAAGACCAGAAAAGAAAAACACGTTCAATCGGTTTGATATCTTGTAAACGAATGAAAGAGATACTTTATTACAAAATATATAATTTACATTTTGACATTATTATTACCATAATAGAGTTGGCACAAAAGAAATTATGTAGCAATTAAATTACAAATTGTATATGAGAAATTTGTTCATATTTCAACAATTTTCCATCATTTAATAGCACATCAGTGTTAAAGCACAGCAGAGCGCAATCACCAGGCAGACAAACATTAAAATTAACTAATATTAAGCGTACACTAACAGTATACAATAAAGAATCGATCGGTTACAAGTTGAAGAAATACTAAAATGGATAATCTATTTTTAAATCCTGCTATCGATGAGAGTACAACAAGTGCGCACTGGCATACATATTCACCATTTTTGAATTCATTTAATAATACGCATACAGATACAAAATCAAAATTTAAACATTTTACCTTCTAACAATTTACTTTATATTGAGGGTACTATTTCAAAAGCGGATGGTAGTGAAACAACTAAAACAAAGCTTATAAATAATGCTATTGCATTTTTATTTGATGAGATACGGTATGAGTAAAATGAGAAAGAAATTGATAACAATAGAAATGTAGGTATAACATCATGCTTAAAAAATTATATTTCATTGAACAAAAATGAGAGTGAAGCGCTTATTAATGGCAGCTGGTCACCTGAACAATCAATTCAACCACAGACTTTATTTTTCAATTATTGCATTCCGTTAAGGAGGCTTTTAGGATTTGCAGAGGATTACAAAAATATTGTACCGAATGCAAAACATGAACTAATTTTGACACGTTCAAGATCTGATGATAATTCCTTACTTTGCACTGATGCTAATGAGAAGCCGAAAATTCAACTGACCAAAGTGCAATGGAGAGTACAGCATATCAATTTAACTGATACATTGAAATTGAAATTGTATAGCCATATTACAAATAACTCAAAAATAATTTTGGCTTTCAGAAATTGGGAATTGTATGAATATCAATCGGTACCACAAAATACTAATCATCATATTTGGAATGTAAAAACAACAACTCAATTGGAAAAGCCACGATACATTATTTTTGCTCTACAAACAAATAAACTTGATCAAGTAACGAAGGACCCATCAAAATTTGATCATTGTAATATAACTAATCTAAAAGTTTACCTTAATTCAGAATGCTATCCGTATGAAGATATGAATTTACTATTTGAAAATAATCGTTATAGTATTGCTTATGCTGAGTACACAAGGTTTCGAAGTAGTTATTACAATTACCCTATATCTGAAGCTTTATTAACATTAAAGGAATTTAAAGAAAGAGCTATGATTTTGATAATAGATACTCGTTATCAAAATGAAAATCTAAAAATGGGACCGGTTGATGTTCGAATTGAAATGAAAAGTTCAGCTGCAATACCCGATAAAACAACGGCTTATTGTCTTATGCTGCACGATAGATTAGAAGAATTCACACCTTTGAAAGGTGAAGTTAATAAAATCGTTTAATGAAGTAAGAAGAATAAAAATGGATTACGTTATAATCGATGTACAAGGTTTTAAAGATAACAATAATAACTTCATATTAAAAGAAATTGCTATCCTTTCATCAAATGATGAAATACAGCATTTTATTATAAAACCTCCATATGGATATCATATACTTACATCTAAAACTAAGAATACAAATAACTGGTTAACAAAAAAACATCATGGATTTCGATGGTCGGATGGTCAAACGCATTTTTGTGATATCATCAATTTTTTAAGGATTTATATAAATAATAATACAATCATATATGTGAAGGGTGAAGAAAAGAAGAATTGGATTAGTAAAATTTTAAAGCATAGTAATACATATGATTTGGGCTCCAAACATGAATCAACAAGTTTAAAAAAATTGAAAAATCAGCATATTTATTATTCAAAAAAATGTTCTTATAAGCATATTGGTGTTTGCGCTCTTGAAAATGTCTACTTAATAAAACTGTTAATCTAAGCAATTTTATAGTATTTAAGAAATGAGAGCGATAAAAATTTATTCATTCAGTTATTTTATTTACGATTTTAAATATCAAAAAAAAAAAAAACAACAAAATCAATATGGATAAAATAAAAAATTATTTTTCGAAAAATAATAACAATTATGAAAAATTAAAAAACACATCAACTGATTCCACAAAGAGGTAGAAAGAAGAAATTAAAAAAAACAGATCAATCAGCTAGCGGAACATTTAATAAAAATAAGAAATGAATTGTATAAATAAAAAATAAAATAAATAATTATAATTATAGTTTTTTAAAACAATAAAAAATTGTTTTCTTTTCCCTCACCTCATTTTTAGATTTTTTTTTCCTTCACTCATTTATTAGATTTTTATAGAGATAAAATAAAAATAATAACCTGAAAAAAAAGAAGCTGAAAATCAAAGTAAAATAAAAAGACATTTTTTTTATTTTTCAATATCAAATGTTAGTTGAAAGAAATTATCTTTACAACCAACAATTGTAAAAAAGTATTCAAATTTTTTATTTTTATTTTTTATTTTTTTATTTATTTTTTCTATGTATTTTTGCGGATGTCTCTCCGCATAAAAAGTAGGCATATACGTGTAAAAATCTTTACACTCTACTTTCACGCACTCCTTCTTCTTTCCCTCTTTGTCCTTTAAGGAGGAATTAGATCTCAATAGTCCAAGTATTTTGAATCTCACTCCATGCTCCAGGGAGCTGAATTTTTTGTATTGTTTTATGGTGTTTAATGCTTCTAGAAAAGCTTCAAAGTCCTCCGTACTGGAACTGCTGCTACTGGAACTGCTGGTACTGTCTTGTCTCATTCTCTTCATTTTGATTTTAAATTTTTTTTTTAATTTAATTTAATTTTAAGTATAATTGGATGATCAATTCAATACTAATTAAATTTTTCTAATTTCTTCTCTATTTATATGCGGTTCTATGGTACCGAAAGCTTATAATTCTAACATTATCATATCTTTTGAAATTCTTAAAAATTATATTTAACTTCAAGGTTAAATTAATACAATTTGAAAATACGCTTGACGGATGTATGTGGTTTTATGCTACCCAATTTTCAAACTTTTATATTTTCTTCTTTTATGCATGATTTTCTTATTAAGCTGAAAATCATGCATAAAAAATCTGAAAACCAAAGTAAAATAATAAGACATTTTTTAAAAGATATTTTTTTTTCTTTTATTTTTCAATATCAAATGTTAGTTGAAAGAAATTATCTTTACAACCAACAATTGTAAAAAAGTATTCAAATTTTTTACTTTTATTTTTTATTTTTTTATTTATTTTTTCTATGTATTTTTGCGGATGTCTCTCCGCATAAAAAGTAGGCATATACGTGTAAAAATCTTTACACTCTACTTTCACGCACTCCTCCTTCTTTCCCTCTTTGTCCTTTAAGGAGGAATTAGATCTCAATAGTCCAAGTATTTTGAATCTCACTCCATGCTCCAGGGAGCTGAATTTTTTGTATTGTTTTATGGTGTTTAATGCTTCTAGAAAAGCTTCAAAGTCCTCCGTACTGGAACTGCTGCTACTGGAACTGCTGGTACTGTCTTGTCTCATTCTCTTCATTTTGATTTTAAATTTTTTTTTTAATTTAATTTAATTTTAAGTATAATTGGATGATCAATTCAATACTAATTAAATTTTTCTAATTTCTTCTCTATTTATATGCGGTTCTATGGTACCGAAAGCTTATAATTCTAACATTATCATATCTTTTGAAATTCTTAAAAATTATATTTAACTTCAAGGTTAAATTAATACAATTTGAAAATACGCTTGACGGATGTATGTGGTTTTATGCTACCCAATTTTCAAACTTTTATATTTTCTTCTTTTATGCATGATTTTCTTATTAAGCTGAAAATCATGCATAAAAAATCTGAAAACCAAAGTAAAATAATAAGACATTTTTTAAAAGATATTTTTTTTTCTTTTATTTTTCAATATCAAATGTTAGTTGAAAGAAATTATCTTTACAACCAACAATTGTAAAAAAGTATTCAAATTTTTTATTTTTATTTTTTATTTTTTTATTTATTTTTTCTATGTATTTTTGCGGATGTCTCTCCGCATAAAAAGTAGGCATATACGTGTAAAAATCTTTACACTCTACTTTCACGCACTCCTTCTTCTTTCCCTCTTTGTCCTTTAAGGAGGAATTAGATCTCAATAGTCCAAGTATTTTGAATCTCACTCCATGCTCCAGGGAGCTGAATTTTTTGTATTGTTTTATGGTGTTTAATGCTTCTAGAAAAGCTTCAAAGTCCTCCGTACTGGAACTGCTGCTACTGGAACTGCTGGTACTGTCTTGTCTCATTCTCTTCATTTTGATTTTAAATTTTTTTTTTAATTTAATTTAATTTTAAGTATAATTGGATGATCAATTCAATACTAATTAAATTTTTCTAATTTCTTCTCTATTTATATGCGGTTCTATGGTACCGAAAGCTTATAATTCTAACATTATCATATCTTTTGAAATTCTTATAAATTATATTTAACTTCAAGGTTAAATTAATACAATTTGAAAATACGCTTGACGGATGTATGTGGTTTTATGCTACCCAATTTTCAAACTTTTATATTTTCTTCTTTTATGCATGATTTTCTTATTAAGCTGAAAATCATGCATAAAAAATCTGAAAACCAAAGTAAAATAATAAGACATTTTTTAAAAGATATTTTTTTTTCTTTTATTTTTCAATATCAAATGTTAGTTGAAAGAAATTATCTTTACAACCAACAATTGTAAAAAAGTATTCAAATTTTTTACTTTTATTTTTTATTTTTTTATTTATTTTTTCTATGTATTTTTGCGGATGTCTCTCCGCATAAAAAGTAGGCATATACGTGTAAAAATCTTTACACTCTACTTTCACGCACTCCTTCTTCTTTCCCTCTTTGTCCTTTAAGGAGGAATTAGATCTCAATAGTCCAAGTATTTTGAATCTCACTCCATGCTCCAGGGAGCTGAATTTTTTGTATTGTTTTATGGTGTTTAATGCTTCTAGAAAAGCTTCAAAGTCCTCCGTACTGGAACTGCTGCTACTGGAACTGCTGGTACTGTCTTGTCTCATTCTCTTCATTTTGATTTTAAATTTTTTTTTAATTTAATTTAATTTTAAGTATAATTGGATGATCAATCCAATACTAATTAAATTTTTCTAATTTCTTCTCTATTTATATGCGGTTCTATGGTACCGAAAGCTTATAATTCTAACATTATCATATCTTTTGAAATTCTTAAAAATTATATTTAACTTCAAGGTTAAATTAATACAATTTGAAAATACGCTTGACGGATGTATGTGGTTTTATGCTACCCAATTTTCAAACTTTTATATTTTCTTCTTTTATGCATGATTTTCTTATTAAGCTGAAAATCATGCATAAAAAATCTGAAAACCAAAGTAAAATAATAAGACATTTTTTAAAAGATATTTTTTTTTCTTTTATTTTTCAATATCAAATGTTAGTTGAAAGAAATTATCTTTACAACCAACAATTGTAAAAAAGTATTCAAATTTTTTATTTTTATTTTTTATTTTTTTATTTATTTTTTCTATGTATTTTTGCGGATGTCTCTCCGCATAAAAAGTAGGCATATACGTGTAAAAATCTTTACACTCTACTTTCACGCACTCCTTCTTCTTTCCCTCTTTGTCCTTTAAGGAGGAATTAGATCTCAATAGTCCAAGTATTTTGAATCTCACTCCATGCTCCAGGGAGCTGAATTTTTTGTATTGTTTTATGGTGTTTAATGCTTCTAGAAAAGCTTCAAAGTCCTCCGTACTGGAACTGCTGCTACTGGAACTGCTGGTACTGTCTTGTCTCATTCTCTTCATTTTGATTTTAAATTTTTTTTTTAATTTAATTTAATTTTAAGTATAATTGGATGATCAATTCAATACTAATTAAATTTTTCTAATTTCTTCTCTATTTATATGCGGTTCTATGGTACCGAAAGCTTATAATTCTAACATTATCATATCTTTTGAAATTCTTAAAAATTATATTTAACTTCAAGGTTAAATTAATACAATTTGAAAATACGCTTGACGGATGTATGTGGTTTTATGCTACCCAATTTTCAAACTTTTATATTTTCTTCTTTTATGCATGATTTTCTTATTAAGCTGAAAATCATGCATAAAAAATCTGAAAACCAAAGTAAAATAATAAGACATTTTTTAAAAGATATTTTTTTTTCTTTTATTTTTCAATATTAAATGTTAGTTGAAAGAAATTATCTTTACAACCAACAATTGTAAAAAAGTATTCAAATTTTTTACTTTTATTTTTTATTTTTTTATTTATTTTTTCTATGTATTTTTGCGGATGTCTCTCCGCATAAAAAGTAGGCATATACGTGTAAAAATCTTTACACTCTACTTTCACGCACTCCTTCTTCTTTCTGTCTTTGTCCTTTAAAGAGGAATTAGATCTCAATAGTCCAAGTATTTTGAATC